GTCCCTGTGGGTGCTCTGGGTGCCTGTCCCGGTCCCTGTGGGTGCTCTGGGTGCCTGTCCCTGTCCCTCTGGGTGCTGGTCCCTGACCCTGTGGATGCTCTGGGTGCCTGTCCCGGTCCCTGTGGATGCTCTGGGTGCCTGTCCCGGTCCCTGTGGGTGCTCTGGGTGCCTGTCCCTGTCCCTGTGGGTGCTCTGGGTGCCTGTCCCTGTCCCCGCGCTCTCCCGTTCCGTGCGCGCTGCCGCGGAGCGGGGCTGAGCGCTCGGGCCGGCGCCGCCGGGGCTCCCCGCTCGGCGATGCCTCTTCCAGCGCTGAGGTTCATAAGGAACGAGGATTCTCTGCCTTTCTTCAGCGCCTTTCATGCCCGAGGAGCCCGGGGCACGCTGCTGCTGACGAGCTGCTCCGTGCACTGCTCAGAGCCCTCCCCGGCTCCGGGGCAGCGCGGCCCGACACCCGGCCCTGCTCCGCTGGGCTGCTCTGTGGGGCTGCTGTGGGTCACCCCCTTGTTCTGGGGGGTCGGGGCCGCGCCTGGCCGAGGTTTATATCGCTGCAAAGTGGTGTGTGTGTGGGCTCAGCACCGCGCCGTGATCGCTGCCGCGGGAGGGAGATGCTGCCGCGGCACAGGTTCTGTCTGTGAGCGGGGAGATGCGGGACAGAGGGACAGAGGGACAGCCCTGTCCCCGCCGTGGGTCCTCGGTCCCCAGCCTCGGGTCAGGTCAGCCACGCACTCAGTAGCGTGTCCCCAAGGCTGCTGCGGCTGCAAGTCGGGCATTAGCACTCCTAATTGAAGTGGCAGCCGGGAAGTCATCATCTGTCCCGGATCCGTGACAGCAGGCACAGGGAGGCAGGACCTGCTCAGTCCCCACACCGGATCGCGGCTGGGGTGATCCCTGCCCCGGGAACACTGCCCCTGCCCAGAGGGGAGATTTGGTGGCAGCGGAGGGGTGAAGGCAGAGCTGGGTGGTTTTCCAAGGAGATGAGGCCGTGCTCCCACCTCAGGACAAACCCCACAGATTCCCCAGCGCCCAAGGCTGGAGGACAGGCACCGCTGCCTGTGTGCTGGAGGAGGGATGGGGCTCCGTGTGGCTGCATGCCAGGATGCACATTAACAAATCCCTCATCGGGAGCCCTGTGCTGATTTCCAGCCTGGCACCTGAGCGGTTCCCTCCGTCGGAAAAGCCTCTCCTGGGAGCATCACGCATCTCTCCTGCGGCACGAGGGGAGCTGGCTCCGTCCCTCCCTCCGCCTCAGCCCGAGCGTGTCATTACCAGCATTTCTCCCGTACTAAAAAAAGCACGAATTTCTTAATTGTTTCCTGCTGGAGTTGAAAGGCAGCTCCCAGGCCCAAAATAGCACGTTGGGGGAAAGCAGTCGAAGAAGAGAGAGCAGAAGGCGATTTGCCTGGAGGGGCTGAGCCGAGCTCTGACTGCAGCCCCGGCTGCTGCTGTGGTTCGTTTTGCCTGCCCCGAGGGCTCACCCTCATCCTCCTCCTTCCACCTGCCCTCCTTGGTGCTCATGGGTGCCTGGGCCTGCAGAGCTGGTGCTGGGGCATCCTCAGGGTGGAGGTCACGGCCAGTGTCTCAATGGGGATGTGTGCAGGGAGGTCTGTTCCTGTTGGAGATGTCACTCGGCATCTCTCTTTTGGAAGGATGCTCCTGTGCAACTTTTTTTTTTTTTTTTTTTGATGGGGAAATCCCTTGGAGCTGCTATGAGTGATGTTTTAGCCCACCCCAGCTCGGCTGCTGGACGCAGCGTGTCCTTCCTGCCAAGAGACCGCTGTGTGCCCAAAACAAACAGCCCTCCAAATCCCTCCTGTGACACTGCCAGAGCCCTGTGTCCTTCATGCCAGATGCTGAGCATCCCTGTGCCTGCATCCCCTCTCCTGGGGAGCTGCTCTCGAACACCCTGTGCTGCTACAGCGGGTGCTGCTTTTGCTGAACCCCAGAGAAATTGGGAAATTAAAGGCTCAGTCCCTCCAGCAACCCCTGTGCTGGGATAGAGGGACCCTCCAATGCATGGGGACAGCTTTGTGCACAGAAATTCCTGCTAGCAGGGATGCTGGAGCCAGAACCCAGCTGGTGATGAGGTGGGGGCTGTTGTGTGTCCTCCTGGCTGCCCCATTGCTGCCACCCCAGCCCTCACCTCTGAACTCTGCACCTTCTGCCAGGCACGCTACAAATCTTCCTGATGGAAAATTGCTTTCTTTATTTTTCTTGCCATCGAAGGTAATTGGCATCTGTTGGTGTGTCTTCGGTCTCTATTTTTATCAGCCGTTTGCACATTGACATCTCCGCTCGCCTCATTATCCCCGTGCCTTTCAGACCTGCGGCTTTTCTATCATTATTTAGATGCACGACGCAAAGGAAATGACAAAAGAGGCCGTCCCCCCTTGTGCCCTCCTGCTGGCACCTGGCTCCCCGCTGTGGGGAAGCACAGGCACAGCTCCTGCAGTGGGACACGCAGTGACAAGTGCCAGCCCCTGCCCAGCATCCCGCATCCCTCAGAGCCTTTCCTCTGCTGAGGACATTTTTCCTCTCAGCAGCTGTCCCTTGGCTGGGGACACTTGGGGTTGCCAGTGCTGTCTGTTTGCTAGTTCGTTGTATTTTGGGTTTTTTTTCCAGAGCCCGGTGAGGCTTCCCGGTGTGCTGGGATGGGTTTGATGATGTTTCTCCAGAGACAGTGGGTACCTGGGCAGATGCCAGCCCTGGGGCTGTGCCTGTGCCCACGTTCAGTGCATCTATGTCAGGGCCAGGCAAGTCCCTTCCCTGAGCCGCCCCCAGGCAGATGTTTTGGCAGATGTTTTCAGGGTTGTTTTGGCTCTGGGAAGATGAGATAGCAGGGCCAGATCCTCCCCAGGCATGATCAGCTTGTCCCTTTCATGGTTCATCGTAGTTCTGTGTTCCCTGAGCGCAACACAAAACATCCTGGGGCGTCTCCCTGGTTTTGGGGGTCCCCAGCACCTGCAGCCCTGGCCCCATGGACCACCTGGGCTGGCCCGGGCTGTGCCTCAAAAGCAGTTTCTGCCACATGGGGAGAACCTGGCAGCTCGTGGAGCAAGTGAAACCTGGGGCTTCAAAACTTGGCAGGAGCAAGTGAAACCTGAAATGGATTCCCCGGGGAATTCATTGTTGGGAGCCCCAGAGCATTCCCCAGGGAATTCACTGACGAGCAGTGCAGAGGAACAGCTGTCGCTGCAAAAGCACTAAATTTCTGTCTCTTTTTTCTCTTTTCTCCCGTTTTTCTCTTGCAGTCACAGAGAAGGAGGTGCAGCAGTGGTGAGTGCCCGCCACGGTGGTGAGCTGGGGCATGGGGCTGTGGCAGGGGACAGGAGCTGGTGGCACTCAGCCACCCCACTGGCCGGGCAGAGCGGGGACGTGCCGGAGGTGTGGGCAGTGCCCCTGGATTGGGGTGCAGGTGGTGCCTCATAAAGAGGAGACCAGAAAGTAGAGGGGTTTTCCTTGCACACCCTGTGCCAGGGCTGGCTTCTAGTGGCTCTTCCCTCCCCATACGAGCAGCCAAAGAGCACGGGGACATGGGGACTGTCCAGCTGGTGCCCTGCTGCAGGAGGCTGATGCTGTCCCAGCACGTTCCCTTTGGCAGCAGGGCCTGCAGAGGCTGCCAGGGGTAGGACCCACTGCTGGTTTCTTGCCAGCATCATGCTCTCACTCCATCCCCTCCGCCCCACCGAACAGAGCGCCCTAGAAAAGCCACTGCTTCCCTTTCATCTCCCTATCCCACCAGTCAAGGTTTGCTTTCTTTATCTCTTTCTCTCATCCTTCCCCCCCACCCGATGAGTCATAGCTGCAGCAGCGTGAAAAAGATGTCACCGGCACTTCGCTTTCCCACCTCACCACCCCCTTCCCCTCCTCCTCCAGCCCTTGTCCCGCTGCAGCGGGCGCCTGACAGATCTGGGCGATGTTGCATAATATTCACCCACCCCACATGGTCCCCGTGTGGTCCCCCACGCTCCCTTCGTGCTCCCTGCATGCTCCCTGCCTGGTGCCCACACCCACGGGGCCAGCGAGCCCCTTCCCCGTGCCCTGCGGTGCAGCTGCACTTCACAGCACCCAGGTCCAGCCTGGAGCTGGGAGCCAGGCCTTTTTGGGGTCTTAAAGCATTGATGGGTTTGGAAGTGGCCCTGGCTGTGCCACCTGAGGACACAGGAGCCCTGCTGTACGCCCCAGCTCCTCTGAGCAGCTTTCATTTGGGGTCGTGCAAGAATTGTCACAGAATATCCTGAGCTGGAAGGGACTCACAAGCATCAGCATAAGTTGAACTCCTGGTCCTGCACATCCCAAGAATCCCATGTGCCTGCAACTGTTGTCCAAACACTTCCTGACCTCTGACATCACCACTTCCCTGGAGAGCCTGTTCCAGCCATCCACAGAACTCAGTGGTCACTGTGCCATTGTGCCAGCTGGCGTGCTGAGGTCATGGGGACATTCCAGAGACAGATTATATTAAATGTTTTATTTATCTTATATCTATTATATTATATTAATGCCCTGGAGCTGGGTTTGGCAGGGACACTGGTTCACACGCCAGGGCATGGCTGCAGCATGGCATCGCTGCCAGTCTGGCTGGGCAGTGAGTCCCTGTCACCTCCCATGTCCCAGACAATGTTCAGCACACATCTGGTTGTGGCTGTTGCCACTTGTGGACTGGCAGCAGGTTGGAGCAGTGCAGTGGCATCACTTGCTGTCGCTGGTGCCGCTCACCGTTTGTCCCCGCTGCCACCCTCACTGTGGCACTCACAGGGACTCATCCACAGGGTGGGTGATGGGAGTGATGCCAGGAGCACCTGGGGACCTTCCCAGCTCCAGCCCCCTGCAGGGAGCCCCCCAGCTCAGCGGGGAGGCCCACGCTGTGCCCTCCATCCGCAGGTACAAGGGCTTTATCAAGGACTGTCCCAGCGGGCAGCTCGATGCCGCCGGCTTCCAGAAGATCTATAAGCAGTTCTTCCCCTTCGGTGACCCAACCAAATTTGCCACCTTTGTTTTCAATGTCTTCGATGAGAACAAGGTAAGTCTGGGATCCAGAGGCTCAGTCAGGGCTGGGCCCGTGGCGATGGTGGGATGGATTTGGAATGTGCCTGGCACTGGAGGAGCAAAACATTCCAGCGCTTCCTGGGGTGTGAAATTGAAGTGGCACAGCTGGAGCGAGCCCCTGTGCTTGCTGTAGTTGGGGAGAGTGATGTGGGGAAGAGCAAGGCAGGAAGGGAGAAGCAGTGTTTTGGTGTCCTGACAAAAGCCCATCCCTGTGGTGCTCCCACGTTCCAGAGCTGCTCCTGCTGGGATGTTCACTGGTGGGCTGAGCACAGGCAGCTGGATCACAGTGCTGGGGATAAATGCATCACTCCTCCCTCCCTGCTGCCTTTTCGGATGTGCCCCCCCAGAGGGGATACATGAGCAGGGAGGACTTTGCTGGGCAGGAGTGGCAGCAGCACCCTGACCCCTCCTTTTCCCCCCCAGGATGGGAGGATCGAGTTTTCAGAGTTCATCCAGGCGCTGTCCGTCACCTCCCGGGGGACGCTGGACGAGAAGTTGAGGTGTAAGTGCTCCCCATGGGATGCTGGTGGGCTCAGCCCCACGAGGGTGCTGGGGTGTGTGTCCAGGGCAGGGACCACAGTCCCAGCCCCCTGGGGTTGCTCTGTCTTGCAGGGGCTTTTAAGCTGTATGACCTGGACAACGACGGATACATCACGAGGAACGAGATGCTGGACATTGTGGATGCCATTTATCAGATGGTGGTAAGAGAGGCAGGGGGGACACAGGGCAGGCAGTCCCTTGGGGGTCCCTGCTGGGCTGGAGCTCAGCTCTGTGGGAATGCTGAACCACCCCCAATTCCTTCTTTGGCCTTTTTTTTGTGGGGGGTTATGGCCATCGTGGCTGTCATGGCCAGGGCAGTGTCTGGATCTGATTGCTGAGGGTGGTTCTGGTGTCATCTCTGTCCCCTTGCACCCTGTCCTGATGTGGGGTGTGGGGGGACAATCCTCGCCTGGGGACACCTCCAGGCAGGGCACAGATGGGTGTGTGACCTGGTCCTGTCCTGCTGCTGCAGGGGAACACAGTGGAGCTTCCCGAGGAGGAGAACACACCAGAGAAGAGGGTGGATCGGATTTTTGCCATGATGGACAAGGTGAAGATGCTTGAGGGCTTTTTCCCTGTGGCCAAGGGATTTAAGAGGTGCTGTGGGTCCCTTTGCTGCATCCTGGCTCCTGCGGGTGCCTCCTTGCCCCACCAACACAAAGTCTGAACTGCTGCCAAGATCACTGTGGGATACCCACATCCCTCTGGGATCCTGTGTCCAATATCAGGGTCTCCAGGGTGGCCTCGTCCCCTCCACGGTGCAGCCATGGGTGGCCCGGTGGGGTGGGGAGGGTGCGTGGGCTGCTGTGGCCGTGCCGGGCTGGGCTGGGTGGGCCGTGCAGTAACGGGAGCGTTTTGCAGAACGCCGACGGGAAGCTGACGCTGCAGGAATTTCAGGAGGGCTCCAAGGCCGACCCCTCCATCGTGCAGGCGCTCTCCCTCTACGATGGGCTCGTATAGTCCCGGGGCCGAGCGGCGGTGAGTGCAGTGCCGGGGCAGCCCCATCTCCCCATCTGCCATTCCCACCCCCCCCAGGCTCAGGCAGCTGATTCTCCTCTGCTGAGGCACCAAAACATGGATATCCCCCCCAAATCCGGCCGGGGGGAATGTTTCCCCATTCTGATAGGTTTCTCCCAGTCCTTCCCCTATCACAGACCTCATCCCATGGAGATGGAAATGTTTGCCTGCAGCACAGCTCGTGCTCTCACCAGCAGATGTGGCTGCAGAGGAGGCAGGGAGGCAGCTGGCGTGCTGAGGGCATGGGGACACTCCAGAGACAGATTATATTAAATGTTTTATTTATCTTATATCTATTATATTATATTATGCCCTGGAGCTGGGTTTGGCAGGGACACTGGTTCACAGCATCACACAGGTGATGGCCTGAGCATCCCATGGTGCTTGCTGTGCCCTGTGGAGCTGTGCAGAGCCCCTTGGAGTGTTTTTGGCCATCACAGTCCAGGCAGTGTCCTGGGAGTGGGGTGTTTTTAACCCCACTGGAGTTTTGAGATTTTCAGCATCTATTCTATTTCTGGCCTTGCCCTTCCAGCTGTGCTGGTGTCTCATGAGATGGCCACAAGGATTTCTGGCCATCCTTCTCACCCCGTTTCCCCCCCGTCCACCCTTTCCTGCAGATGCCTGGGGGAAGATGCTCTCCGTGCCATCCGACCACGCGAAGCTTGCCTGTCCCTCCCGGCCTTCCTTTCTGTTCTGCGAGCAAGGAGTGCTGCGAGCTCACTCCCCTCTGCACCCCGAACCAGCCGCTGCCATTCGCCAACCTCCGCTTCTTCCAAAAAAACCCCGCGCCAGGCCCCGGTCTGAGCGGCGGCGAGCGTCCGAGACTCCAGGGCCGGGGAGCGGCTGGAGCATCGCCGCAGGCAGAGCCCCCTCGGCCTCCTGGGCTCCTTTGCTCCCTTTTTCCTACATTTCGGACGGGACTGCGGATGCGCCGGCGGGATCCTCTCTTGGGAAGCGGCCGGAGAGGAGCCCGAAGGCAGCGGGGGCTGCACCCCCAGGGTCTGTCCCTGTGGGGTGCCCGGCGAGCCGAGGCACCGGCAGAGTCTGGGAACAGAGTCCTGGCGTCACCCACGACTGGCAGCCCGGCTCGGCTCACTAGGGATATATATTATATTATTATTTTATTTTTTCTGGTGAGACAGTATTGTGCTTTTTGGTTTTGTTTTGTTTTGTTGGTTTTTGTTTTTGATTTTTTTTTTTCCTTCGGTGGAAAAAAAAAGTGAGGCTTTTTTTTATATGCCCATTCTCGACGATCGATATCCTTATTTATTTGTTGTAAATGTTGCTGCTGTGTTTTGTCTCTCGTGCGCGTGTCCACCCACCCAGGTGAGGATTTGTAAGGTTTACATGCTCGTATTGCGGGGACCCGGGAGCCTGCAATAATAATGAAGCCAAAAATCTGCCTTCCCCCCTCTCCTCCCACCCCCTGTATCCCAAGCTCCATGGGCTGGCTGCTGCTTGGAGGGGATGCTGTAGCTTCTTTTCCTGTTCCCGTGTTCCCTGCATTTTTCTGTTCACCCTTAGGGAGCCCAGTGAGGGCTCACTCAGCCCAGCCTCTGAGCAGACCAAGCTCCATCCCTCCATCAGGCAGGGTGAGGAAATTCTGGGCACCAGAGCATCACTGTGTCCTCCCTTTTATTCATTTTCTCACTGCATGAAAAAGTATTCATGGAGCCCAGAGTTGGGTTTTGCTTTCAGGCAGATTCCTTTGCTGTGTTCTGCTTTGCAGATGGGGGAAGGTGTTTGGTGGTGGCTGTGTGCTGGAGGGGCAGGGGGGGAGCCTTGCTCTGTCTTGTTCCCATCCCAGCTGGGCCAGGGTGCCAGGGCAGTGCCAGGCTGGGCTGAGCACAGCTCAGGGTGCCTCTTTCCCCCACCACTCCCACAGCACATGGGAGGTTTTGCTGTGTCTCTAAGCAGAGCTGCTTGCAGCCACCTTGGAGGAGGCAAAAGGCTGGGAATGCACACCAGGGGACTGAGCTGCAGCCCCCTGCCATGAGCGGGGCCTGCACAGCCTCTCCCAACTCCATCAGCACCCAGCACCCCTCGGGGATGTGCCCCCAGCTCAGCCCCACCAGCACCCACGGTGGCACACAGCTGGCATTGTCTGCTGGGGCATGGGCATGGCATGGGTGATGCCTCAGCTGCTCTGGGAAAGGAGAGATTTGCATTCCCTCAGGAGCAGAGTGCAAGAATCCTTTGGGACCCCTAAAGCCACCCTGGGGCCTCACCCTTCCATCTCAGGTCCAGCTGATGGTAGCAGCATCTCTCCACCCAGCTGTGTCCCAGCTGCTGTGGCCAAGCCCAGACAGAGGACTGTCCCCATGGCAATGGGAGGTGACATCTGGGTGACATCTGGGCATGGGGGACAGTCTGACAGGTGTCTCACAATGCAGGAGACAAGATGGTGCCTCAGCATTCCTGGAATCCTCCTGGCATGGCAGGGACACATGTCCCAGCCAAGGGATGCTGGTTCTTCACCGTGCAACCCCACTCCCCAGTTTCGGGATTTTGTGCTTGTGATACTTCTTGATGCCCATAAAAAAACACTTTTCCCCATCCCCAAGGAGACTGACCTCACGTCCACGTGCAATATTTCTGCCTCTTCTGCAGTTCCTGCCCCTGAGGATGCCCATGTTTCATTGTGGGGGTGCTTCTGGAGGGTGACCCTCACTCACTCCCATGGAAACCCTTTTCCTTCTTGCTCTGTGGCCAAAATGCAACTCTCTGGGGTAGGTTTTTGCAGTGCCTGCAACTTGTTGAATGCTCATCTGCCAGACTGGTCCCCTCCTGGTGCCAATCAATGTTCCCAATGAATGTGACACTGCTGTAATCACCTCTGCTGATGAATGATGGCCCCTGCCACGTTTGACGTAGTTCCCAGGCAAAGGCAAACCTCATTTATTCTGACACTGTTCCCTGGAAAGCTTTTAATTTTTGGAGGATCTGTCATGGGCTGAGCTCCATCGGTGCTCACAGATGTCTCCCCTGGCAGTCAGCCCTGCCAGGGCTCTGGACACGCTGTCTGTCCCCGAGCAAAGCGTTTTGGCCCCAGTGTTCCCCCTTGGCTGTGGGTTTGGGACCCTGCCTTGGATGCTCCTAGTCCCACTTTTGGGGGAGCACTCAGGGCCCCTGATTCCTCCTGACCACCACCAGGATCTGCAGTGTCTTGATATCACTGAAAATAAGGCTTGGAGCATCTCGTGCTTGGAAATGTCGGCCTTAACCTCCTCGTGCCTCAGTTTCCCCATCAGTGGAGTGGCTGGGGTGAGCCATTGCCCTCTGGAAAGCAGTTTGGTGTCTGTGCCCTGGCAAGCACGAGTGCTGGATGTGGCTCAGGACTGCGGGCACAGGGCTTGGCAGGACCCACGGAGCACCAGGCACGTGCAGAACCCCGGGAACAGCGCAGGGAACGCTGGGTTTGCCAGGGACTCTTTAATTCCAGCCTCTGCTTCACACCTGCTCACGATGGAACAGGCAGCAAGCCCTGCTTTGTCTCTGTTGGTACTCGGGTTCCTGGTGCCTGTCCCAAACAGAGCCCTGGCCATGGCAAGGGGGCCCAGAGCAGAGCCAGGCAGAGGAGAGGGTCCAGCCCTGGTGACTGTGGCATGTGCCCCCCTCTCATTTGTCCCTGTTGTCGGTGTTGCCCCATTAAATGCCACGTCTGTACTTTCCTTTCTTTTCACTTTTCTGTCTGTGTGCTGATTGTTGCTGCTTTGTGTCCGTCTTTCCTTGAGCTCTGGGGCTGGGCTGAGCTGAGCTGTTTCCCCCAGGAGCAAGAAGGTGGGAGAGGGCTCTGGGGGCAAATTCCTCCCTGCCCTCTCCTCACAGCACAAACCAGGACCCGAGAGAGAGAGAAGTGAAGGGTTTTTCCTCTGGGGCAGGCTGTTAATTAATGCAATTTATAACGAGACCAGGCTGGTCCCAAGAGCTCTCTCCGTTGGGTTGGTGGAGGGGGGTGTTTGCTTATGGGGGACCCCAGACCCTGTTTGTGCCAGGTCCCAGCTGCACCTCATCCTCCTTCACAGGAGCAGATGCCTGTTGGTTCTTCCCGTGCCATCAGGACACCACGTTCCTGTGGGATGGGAGGCTGGGGTTGTGGGAATCCCAGCGCAGGTCTCTGCTCCTCAGTGGGCAGGGATGCAGCTGCCCACAGGGTGGAATTGTCTTGGAGTCTTGGGGTCTGGGTTTGAGCCCTGCTTGGAGCAGGGCTGGCTTTGAAGCAGGGCCAGGCATGGCGTGGGGGCAGCTGAAATCACTGGCAGAGCTGCCCCCTTACCATGTATTTAGGACTGGGGGGTCATTTGGGATGGGTGAGTGACCTGCAGCCAGCTCACTGTCCCCCATCCAAGGAGATTTGGGGCATTTCATGAGAGCATCTGTCACCTGTCCTTCCTGAGGGCATTGGAGGGGAGAGTCTGGCTGGGACAGAAGCGAGGGCTGAGGGCAAAGGAGGGAGCTGATGGCCCCAGTCTCACTGCAGTTTGGGGTGCAGCAGTTTTGGGGTCTCAGTTACACATTTCAGCCCTGCCTATTCAGGAAAGTCATCCTTCCCTTCTCTCTCTGCTCCCGTGGCCACCAGCCCAGGGCTGGGTGTCCTGTGGCACAGGTGTGACCCCTGGCCAGGGGGTGGCCGAGCCCTGGGCTGGGAAGCAGCAGCTCCAGCAAAGAGCCTTGTTTGTGAAGATGAAGCCTGTGTGTGCGTCCGTGCCGGTGTCTCGGCTTGCATGCCCCGCTGCCTTGTCTTGAGATGAATTCAAGAGCAAACCAAGCAAATGAAACAGTTCAATAACAGAACAAAACAAAACCCAGGAACTTTGTGACAGTGGAAATAAAAGCTTAATGACAGTAACGAAGTGGCAGTGGTCTGTGATGCGTCGGGGTGGGGGGGTCACAGGGCTCCCCAAAGCTGCCTCGGCACCCAGCGGGGCTGGGAGCTGAGCTGGGGGTGTCACTGTCCTGTGCCCCAAGCACAGGGTTGTGATGGGACCAGCACAGGTGTAAATTGGGATGCTCTGGGCTCTGTGGGTAGTCAGTCAGTCAGGCACTGTGCCCACACTGTGATGAGCTGCCAGGTCTCAGCTCCAGGCATCCCAGGCACCCTTCACCCCCACGACACTGCTCTTCCCTCCTCCTGTTACCCAGACACAGCTCTCCCTCTGCCGGGTCCCATCCTGACACAGTGCCTGCATCCCTTTTTCCTTTTACAATGAAGACACAGCCGTGTGCCCATGGGCACTGTCCCAGTCCCCTCTGAGCCCCCTCATTGATGCAGCAGGCTGGAGCCACTGGGTCACTTTTGGCACAGTGGCTGCAGAGGAATCTGGCTACAAATATCCCATAATTGTAGCCTGGACGTGCCCCTGGGCAGCCCCCCTGCTCTTGGCAGGGCTCACAGTGGGCTCACAGCCTGGACTGGGTTTTCACGTGCAGCCTTGGCCATTCTGCTCTGCCAGCTCTTGTGGAAACGAGCCCTGCGAGGCCTCCCTGGCAGCCCATCCCTTGTGTTTGCTCTCCTAACGAGGCTGACTAATTATTTCCGGGAGGCCAAAGGAGATGCCCTAATGGTCCGAACAAGGAGGCTGTGTTTGTGCAGGGGGTTTTGTCCAGGGGTGCTTTGTGCCAGCCCATGGTGGGAGCTCCCAGGGATTCCTCCCCTGTGCCATGGAGTGGGCAAGGAGAGGCACAGGCTCCCAACCACGGTGGTTACCCAGAGGCTGTGCCTTAACCCCCAGCAGGGAAGGGGTTAAAGCCCAGCTAGCACAGGTGCTCCCGGGACTGGGAGCACTGGTGAGTGTGGGAAGGGCTGGCTGGGATTCATTTGGTGATGAGAGGAAGCTGTGGGGGTTTTTGTGCCAGTAGCACTGGTGCTCCCTGCCAGGATGGAGCTGGCATGCAGGTTGGTGGCTGGGGATGAACTAAGGTAGATTTTGTGGCACTTTGGGGTGGGGGACTCCCCTCAGCTCTGTAGGGCTGGGAGTGCAAAGCCTGGGGGAGTGCAAAGCCTGGGGGAGTGCAAAGCCTGGGGGAGTGCAAGCCCTGGCTGTGGGACAGGAGGGGAACAGGCCACTGGCACAGCCCCAGGGCAGAAGTGTCACTGTCCTGCTGCAAGGGGGATGTCCTTGCTCTGAGGTTGGGCTAGGCTGAGCCCACGCTTGCAGGGATAAAGGAATGCACAAGGATAAAGGAATGCACAGGGATAAAGGAATAGTCCCACTGTCCTGGGTGTGGGTTATGAGACCGGTGATCTCCAAGGTCCCCCAGCTGCTGTGTCTGGGAGGAGCAGGGCTGCTGCTGGGGGTGCAGGAGGTGCACAGCTTCACCTGGAGCCGGCTTTTGGCCGTGGCTGAGCCCTGGGTCCTGCTGCGGGGGAGTTGAGCAAGAGCAGAGCATCCCAGCGGAGCAGCCGTGAGCTCAGCACTCCGCGCCCGCAGCCAGCGCTCCCGGCCAAGCGCTGCCTGTCCCGGCCAAGCGCTGCCTGTCCCAGCCCATGGCCTGGCTCCGGCTCTGTCTGCGCTCTCCGTGACTCTCTGCTCCCTGTTCGTGGGGTGGCTGCGTGGCTGAGCCCACCCGAGCCCCCCACGGAGCCCCCTGACCTCCAAGCCCCGTTGCAGAGCCCCATTCCAGGGCGCTTTGCCCAGCAAGGGGGGGCTTGGAGTCCTTGGGGCTCCTTTCACAGCTGCTTCTCCCCCGCTGGATTTTGGCAGCGTTTCCTCCCAGGTGCTCAGCTGTGACCCCCGTGTCCTCCCCTGACCCCCGCTCCCCCCAGCAGAGCAGGGGCTCTCTGAGCCGGGGGTCGGCGCTGGGGAGGGCGGCTGGGCAGTGTTTCTGACGATCCCCTGGGCTGCAGGATCTGCTTCCCAACCCCTACATCTCCATCCCGATTTCCTCCAGCTCCCACCCACCTCCCAGCCGCGTCGCTGCCTCCCAAAGTCCGGTTTTTCCTCCCGCCCTCGCTGCTCCCTCCCAGAAGTTGAGCGCTGGAGGAGCAGGTCCGCAGCTGCGGAGGGCTGGGCGCTCCCGGCCCGGGGTCCCTTCTCTGTCCCCGCCGCGTGTGGCCCCCGCACACCGTGTCCCTCCGTGCCGTGGGGACAGCGCCCGGCGGCTCTGCGGGCAGGGACAAGGACACGAGGGGTGCTCCTGACACCTGAGCGTGTCCCCCACCATGCCACCCCGCAGAGGGCTGTTGGTGGGTCTCTGGATGCTGCTGGCCCTCAGCGTGGCCGAGAGCCCCCCAGGGTGGGCCACCCTCGCCTTTGTCTTCGATGTCACCGGCTCCATGTACGACGACCTGGTGCAGGTGATGGACGGGGCCTCGCGCATCCTGGAGCGGACGCGCGGCAGGAGCACCAAGCCCATCAGCAACTACGCTCTGGTGCCCTTCCACGACCCAGGTAGGTCCAGGACAGGGTGGGGATGTGTCCTGCCAAGGATGGGGCTGTGGGGACCTGGGCTGTGGCTCTGGCTGGGTCTGGCTCTGAAGCATTCACTTCACAAGCACTTGCACTGCCCCTTCTCCCTGTTGTTAATGCCCTGGTGACTGCTGTGGTGGGGATGGCACCTCAACAGCAGGGGGCTGGGCTGGGGCTCCTGTCCCATGTGGGGGTTGTTTCCACCGTATTAATCCCAGGTATGCTCTGTTGTGGGTGCCTCTTCCCCTTCCATCCTGCTCTAATCTCCCTGGAATAATCATCGGGGTATTTCTGCCCAAGTCCACAACATGCTTCCAGGCCACCTCGATAAAAACACCACTTGCTGTGATATCAGAATAGTTTCTTTCTGCCCCTACCTTTGTCTTCTCTTTGTGCACACTCATAAAAGAGCAGCTGCTCCCCAAAAGATCCCTGGCCTCCTACAAGGAGAGTGGGACTCAAACTTTATTTTCAGCAGAAACATTGAGTTGAGTGAAAACCACTGGAGCCAGACAGGGAAGGAGGCAGAAGTAGTGAATGAATTCCTGCATTTCTTTGCTGGGAGCCTCCCCCAGTAGAAAAAGACACTGGGTTTGCAGCTCACCCTGGCTGGGACCACCCAGCGTGTTGGGAGAAATTCCTGGGCACAGGAATAATTTGCCAAAGTGGTCATGGTATGGGCACAGGGGCTGGTCTGCCCAAACCCATCTCTCTGCTGGTGCCAAGCCAGGGTAGATGCTGGACCCCGGGTCTCACAGGTGTTTGAACCAGGGCAGTTCCAGGAGCACCAGCAGCATGGCTGGTGTTGGCAGGAGCTGGGGCTGGGCTCAGGGGGCTGAGGTGGTGGCATCCATGTGCTTGCAGAGGTGGGACCTGTCACCCTCACCACGGATCCCCAGCTCTTCCAGCAGCGCCTGCGGGAGCTCCATGTCCAGGTTGGCATCCTCAGCCCCACGCTGCTCTGCCAGGGCCTGGCACTGCATGGTGGTGGCTTCTGGGGGCAATCCCTGCATCCCCCACAAGTGTGATGGGGGTTCAGGCTGAGCCAGACTGACTGGGGGCTGCACACAAGGGTGGGAATGGAGAGGATGGGTAATACTGGAGCTGTGTCCCAGAGCCCTGCAACAGGGCAGAGAATTCCCAGACCACAGCCCTTGTCCCTAATGGAGATGCTGTTCCCAGGAGAGTTTCCACAGACTCTCCATGGAACCAAAATTCTCTTCTACAACCACTGCCTGATAATTGAGTTTTTCATTTCTG